GCGCAAATCATTCATTCTGCACGCCAGTGCCCTCGGTGTATCTATGACTATGATAGATACCCCTCGTATGTGTACCTCGCTCGAAATACCGGGCGTCTCTACAGTACCCGTATTTTTACTTCTGTCCGTATTCTTCTTTTTACTTCCTCCATAGCGCCAACGCGGAAAAGAGCTCGAGACACGACTTGACAATCTATGGCAATTTATTCATTGTATTTACTGCATCGTCATCGTCCAAGTTGTGTATGTATGTATGTACGTACGTGCACACCATCGCCATCGTCTATATGCAGCGTGCCCTCCCTCCCCTCCCTCCTCCATCCTCCGTCCAGCCCCATAAAACAGAAAGAATAACGAACAAAGAATAAAACAGTGTGTGTGTGTGGGTGGCATGCATCATGGTGTGTGCGTCAAGAAAGCGGGAGCCCGGCGAAGAGAATAGAGAATATGAATATTATTATATATGAGGCGCGCCCAGAAACCAAGCCCAAGCCCAAGAAGAAGAAGTAATAGCAGAAAAATGTACGATATGGGATTGGATTGAGGGAAACAAACGAGCGTATGTGCATGTGTGCCGGCCGACGGGCGAGGGGAGCCCGCGCGTTGTATGTATTATCTTATCTTCTTATGCTGCTTGCCGCGGTCGAGGTGCCTCGGGATCCGCACAAGCACTAGCACTTCTCCCACATCTTCACCGAGTCGCTGCACACATCATCAGCTCTTCACACAAAAACGGGGGGACGAAGGGAAAGGGAACACCACGCACATGACCATCGCGCGCTTGCTGATATCCTGCGGCCACGTCGGGTACCACTCGTCCTGCGCGCGCAGAAAGTCGAGCGGCGCGGTCCCCGAGCCGTCGAGCCACGGCTTCTCCGGCCCGTCGGGGAACCACCCGTTCGTCCCGCCCACCGCGACGTTCATGATCAGGTAGAACGCTGCAGGCCGTCGTCAGCATCACTCCACTTCACTTACAAATAAATAAATATATAGGGACTGACGCTGGTCAAACGGCGCGGCCTTGGTGCCATTCACCCAGGGATTCTCGAGCACGACGCTCTGCGTGCCGTTCTGCACCACGGTCGGAAAGTCGCCGCGCTGCCAGAAGGACTCGCTCAGCTTGACCTCGTAGATGTTGTTCAGCCGCGAGTCGACGTAGGTCCGGCTGTCCGTTGCGCGCGCGTTAGCGTGTGTGTACACGAAGAGGAGAGGGGAGGACTGACATGAACTCCTGATTCCACTCGAGCGCATACGTGTGGAACTCCTCGTCGAAGCGCCCGCGGCGCTCGAACAGCCAGCCGTACGTCTTGGCGACCGCGTTGAGGAACGTCGCGGGGCCCCAGTTGAGCGACGTGCGCACGTAGTTCGCGCCCCTGTCGTGCGTCAGCATTGAGAGGAGGAAAAAGAAAAAGAAAGGACGCACTGCTTAGGATAGCTCGGCCCGTTCCCGCGCGCCTCCATGATGTCGATCTCGCCGCTGAGCGGCCACGGCCCGTACGCGCTGTCGACGGGCAGCATCCAGATCGCGGGCCACAGCCAGTCGCCCGTGGGCAGCTTTGCGCGCACCTCTACGCGTCCGAATCTGCGTGAGTTCGGAGGGTCAGCGAAAAGTTCTTCCAATGGAGGGGAGGGGAGGGGAAGGAGGAAGGAGGGGAAGGAGGAAGGAAGAAGAGAAAGAAAAAACGCACTTCAGACTCGCACTCCGCCGCGTGCTGATCCGCGCGCTCATCACGGGCGGGAGGATGCGTCCCTCCGTCGCGTTGGAGACCGCGGAGCACGCGTCGAGGTACGCCGCGAGGTCGAGCGGCGTGTCCGGCGCTGCAGCGTGCATGCAATTCCGTTAGTCACCGTGGAAGAGCGGAAAAGCAGGACTCACCAATCCCCCCGGTGCCATCCGCGCCGGCGCCCTCGGTGGTGTTGATCCCCGCGCTGCCGTGCCCGGTGGTGGTGTACCCCGACGAGTGTGTGATGTTGTACGTGCAGTCCGTGAGGTTGTACACCGCGCCGTCTGCGAAACAAAAAGAGGGGTCGTCAGCCGCTGCTTCGTCTTCTTACTTCTTCTTCGCTCTCGCTGCTCTCGACAAAGCGTACTCCCCCCCTGGCTGCCCGCATAAAGGACGGACAACACAGAAGGGAACGCAAAGTCGAATACACAAATAAGAAAGAAAGAAAAGCGCAAACGCACCCAAAATCGAGCTCTGCGGAATCACGTCGCTCGTGAGCGTCGGCACGAGGTACAGCTGGTTGTTGTACACGAACGAGTTGGCGTCCGACGCGGTCGTCATCTCGAATTCGCCGTTCCTGGGAGGGGCGCGCGTTAGCGAGCCGTAGGAGTTATAAGCAGGCAAGCGGAACCACGCACCCAAACCCACTCGCATCCACCTCCCTAAACCACGTCCCGCCCTCGCCCGCCGCGCCGCTCCCGAACAGCTGCGCCGTCGTGGTGTCGGAAAAGTCCTGCGTGAGCACGGGGCACAGCGTGTCCGTCAACAACATCACGCCCTTGTACCCCGTATAGATGCGCGCCGCGCCCGCGGCGAGCCCGCCCAGCACCACGCCGTACGTCATCCAGTACGCCACGCGGCCGCGCGGGTCGCGCTTCTTGAGCCACGGCTTGGAGAGCGTCTGCGTGAGCGTGGCGTAGGTGCCGACGGGGACGGTCTTGCGGTTCGTCGCGGCGAGGGTTTTGCGGTATTCTTCGCCTGCGGGGGGGGTGTTAGTGGGAGTTTGGGTGCGGGGAGAAGGGAGAAAGCACTAACCCGCATCGCCCACGGTGTTCCCATTCGGCACCAACAGCGCCGTGCTCTTGGGCCGCTCCCGCCTCGAGCGCGCGCCCCCCGCGCCGGCGGCGCCAGAGGCGTAGATCGTCATGGGGCGCGGCGGCGGCGACGCGAACGTCGAGCGTTTGGGCTTCAGCGAGCCCGGGCCGCCCGCGCTATTGCTTGCGCCCTCGGCGCTTGCGTTCGTGGAGGTGAGCCCGAGCGGCGAGGCGCCCGACGTCGAGGGGCGCCCCGCGGCGGAGCCGCCGGTGCTGGGGCGGCTGCCCGCGCCGGCGCCGGCGCCGACGGAGTACGAGCTGAAGGCGCGCGGGACGTCGACGAGCGAGGACGCGCGCGTGCTGTCCGGGCTCTGGCCAAAGTACCCGCCTGCGCCGGGCCCGCCGTTGGGCGTGTCGAGCGGGAGGGGCGTCGCGGAGGCGGAGGGCGAGTGCAGCGGCGAGAAGTTCCCCGAGGCGCTGAAGCTGCGCACGGACGCGGGCGGGGAGAAGGGGTTCGCCTGGCCCTGGGCTTGGGCTTGGGGGCCGCTGTTGCCGGCGAAGGGATTCGCGTAGGGGTAGTTTGCGTTTGCGCTGGAGGCGGTGGAGTCGCGCAGGGGGAAGGCGGGGGTGAGGAAGCTGAGACTGCGCGGGGTGTGCGGCGCACTGGGCTGGGTGGGCGACGGGGGCTCCGAGTCGTATTGGCCTTGGCCCTGATTTTGTTCCTGGTTGGAAGAGGACGAGACGGGGGGGAGGAAGAAGAGGGGCGCGGGGCGGGCCATGGTAGTCTACCGAGCAAAGTGCTAGAGCAGCGTCTACCGAGTACAAAGTCCAAGGGCAGCCAAGGAAAGAGCAGCAGGAGCAAGGCAAAAGGACTTGAAGCGGTTGGTGATATACTAGTGACCCTCCTGCCAATACGCTAGGCAAGCAGAGCTGTCGTCCAACCTTCCATCTGCCTCGCCCGAATTACTCGACCGTCATCTACTTGCACCCAGATCCAGATCGCCTTCAGTAGGTCAATTCCGCACGCCACCGGCCGGCTTTGCCAATCTGGCTTCCACACGTTCCAAGTGGAACAGCGTCGGGTCGGCGAAGGTGTGGTAAGTTCGTCCCTATCAAGGGGCACAACACAGTGGCAGCTCGCAGGCAGCGCGCCCCTCGCTGTCATTGGAGCCCGGCATCTTTCAATGTTATCCACAGATCGAGACGTCGCGAAAAAAAGCCGACGTGTGAACACGAAAGGGATCCCGAGAATGCGATGTGAATCCGGGGAGTCCCGTCGGCTGCGCGTGTGAACGTCGGTGATAAAAGGATGGGCGAGGGCGAGGACGCGCGCCGCCTCGCTTACTTATCTTTTACATGTAAGCAAACGGAAGTAAGAAAAAAGGTGGTGACTTGGAGATGACCTGACCCGGAATCGAACCGGGGATTCCCCGCTAGTAGCCCAGAAACCTGATTCAGTAGGGGTGGGGGTGATAGCCATTCACCACCAGGTCTTCCTACTCCCGTGCCTAGGTTGAATACCCCTCACTCTCTTCATTCAGCTTTCCAATGCAAAAAAATTGGAAAAACTACTGTACTCACATTGAACGGATACACTATCTGCCGACGTTTAATAAACCCCATCTCTCTAGCTCGAGTAACCCCACACTTTCTTGCTAAAAAATAGGACCAAGGCGGGGAGAAAAAACATGGCTCTCCTAGGAATGACCTGACCCGGAATCGAACCGGGGACTCCCACCTGACAATGGTTCCCTTCCAAAGCAGAGTGGGTGTGAACCATTCACCACCAGGTCTTCCTACTCTTCAGTTTTAAGCTGAATATACCCCATGTTTTCAAGTTGCCTCTAACCTCAACACGCACTGCACTTTTCCGGCCGCAAAATGAAAGAACACACAAATTACTTAGAGTGAATGAATAAAACCCGCCTATGATTGAATAAAGTTTCACCATCCGGTCTTCTTATCTTCCCGTCCCCGACCAACCGAGGGTTCTACTTCCAGCTTGAAAATGAAACTGGAAAAAGACAGTCACGGCATGTGCTGGAAATGACCTGGCCCGGAATCGAACCGGGGACTCCCACCTGACATTCATTGACTTCGTTGAAAGCAGAGTGGGTATGAACCATTCACCACAAGGTCTTCCTCCTCTTCAGTTTTAAGCTGAATAGACCCACGTTTTCAAGTTGAACAATACTTACACTAAACATGAGAGTACATAAAAAGCTGGTTCAATACGGTGCTAGGACCTGGCCCAGAATCGAACCGGGGACTCCTGCCTTACATCTCTCACAGGATATATGAACAGACGGCAGGCGTGATGACATTTCACCACCAGGTATTCCTACTCCCTACCTCTAGCCTCAACACACCCTGTGCTTTTCCGGCCGCAAAATGAGAGAACACACAAATCACTTAGAGTGAACGAATAAAACCTGCTTATGGAATAAATTTTCACCCCTGGTCTTCTTATCTTCCCGTCCCCGACCAACCGAGGATTTTGCTTCCAGCTGGGAAATTCAAATGAAACTGAATCTGGACTCGGAAGCAAAAAAAAAAGAGTGACAGGATGTACTCTGAATGACCTGGCCCGGAATCGAACCGGGGACTCCTGCCTTACATCTCTCATGGCAACTGTGCGTGGACGGGGAGTGGGGGTGATGACATTTCACCACCAGGTCTTCCCATCCCTACCTCTAACCTCAACACACACTGCACTTTTCCGGCCGCAAAGTGAAAGAACACACAAATCACTTAGACCGAACAAATAAAACCTGCCTACGGAATAAACTGTCACCACCCGGTCTTCTTATCTTCCCGTCCCTGACCAACCGAGGGTTTGAAAATGAAAATGAAACTGAGGCTGGACTCGGAAGCAAAAAAAAAAAAAGAGTGACAGGATGTACTGAGGATGTCCTGGCCCGGAATCGAACCGGGGACTCCCACATGAACATTCGATACAGAAGATTTAAGCAGAGTGGGTGTGAACCATTCGCCACCAGGTCTTTCTGCTCCCGTGCCTAGGTTGAATACCCCTCATACTTTTCTTTTCAGCTTTGCAATGCAATGCAATGCAGAAAAAAAGGACAAATGGGAGGAAGAACCACTGTACTTGAATTGAACGGATAGCATTCACCACCAGGTACTCCTAAGCCTGTTCTCAGGGTCAATAAACCCACCGTTTTTTGTGTCAAATGAGCTAAAAAAAAGATCTCAACGTCGCAATGACCTGACTCGGACTCGAACCGAGGAGTCCCACCTTTTTTGTGAGCGAAACCAAGCAAAGTGGGTATGAATCATCCACCACCAAGTCTTTCTACTCCCATTCCTTGGTTGAATAGCCCTTACACTTGGTGTGCAAGAAATAATTATAAGAGAACATACTGAAGAACCAACTACTTCCAGAACAAATAAACCTCCCTACAAATGAATAAAGTTTCGCCACCCTGTCTTCTTATCTTCCCGTCCCCGACCAACCGAGGGTTTGAAAATGAAAATGAAACTGAGGCTGGAGTCGGAAGCATAAAAAAGACAGTCAAAGTATTTACTGGCAATGACCTGGCCCGAACCGGGGGCTCCTACTTTGCAGTCTCTGCGGGCTGATGTGATCAAGCAGAGTGGGTGTGGACCATTCACCACCAGGTCTTCCTATCCTCATGTCTACGCTCAATACACAGTAAGTTTCTCTGGCCAGGAAACGATACACTGATATGAATGACAGGACAAAATATGTATGTCAGACACCAACTGAGAGAGAAAAAAAAGCTGTAGCACTGCATGTATATGGCCTGACCCGCCGGAACCGAACCGGGGACTCCCACCTGACTGTCACTCACGTGGAAAGCAGAGTGGGTATGAGCCATTCATCGCCAGGTCTTCCAATCCTTACTTCTAACCTCAACACACACTGCACTTTTCCGGCCGCAAAATGAAAGAACACACAAATTACTTAGAGTGAACGAAAAAACCCGCCTATGATTGAATAAAATTTCCCCACCCAGTCTTCTTATCTTCCCGTCCCCGACCAACCGAGGTTTGAAAATGAAAATGAAACTGAGGCTGGACTCGGAAGCATAAAAAAGAGAGTCACTGCGTTTACTGGGAATGACCTGGCCCGGAATCGAACCGGGGACTGCCACCTGACAATGGTTCCCTTCAAAGCAGAGTGGGTGTGAACCATTCACCACCAGGTCTTCCTAAGCCTGTTCTTGATCATGAGCTCAATACACACAACAATTTTGGGCTGGAAAGGTAAGAGAAAATTTCTCGCACACCTCCTATGGCCTGGCCCGGAATCGAACCGGGAATTCCCGCCTTACATCTCTCATGGTAACTACGAACAGACAGCGGGTGTGATGACATTTCACCACCAGGTCTTCCTACTCCCATTCCTAGGCTGAATACCCCTCGCACTTTTCCTTTCAGCTTTGCAATGTAAAAAAAAAAGAAAATAGAACAAATGGGAGGAAAAACTGCTGTAAACAGATACACTACCTGCTGATGTATAATAAATCCCATCTCGGTAGCGTAACCCCATGCTTGCTTGCTCAAAAATAAGACCAAGGTGCAGAGGAAAAATGTAGCTCACAAGTCAGCATCCATGACCTGACCCGGACTGGAGCCGGGATTCCCACCTACATCCTATGTGAACTGCTTTACAAGGGAGTAGGTGTAATACACCACCAGGTCTTTATACTCTTCAGTTTGAAGCTCAATATACCCAATGTTTTCAAGTTGAACAATGCTTGCACTTACTGTAATATGAATGTTATGTCCGTGCAAATCAGTCTTTCATTTTTTCCCATTTATCGGTTCTGGTCGCACTCAATCCAACTCTGATCGTGCTCCCGTCACCTCCGGACACACAATCACGCACTACATCAGACCCTGCACCACTCCGGTAATACTCCAGCACTCTAGCTCACTCCGGTCGATTAACGGTTCACCTGTTCCCGGACCTATCCCGGAATACATAGCTCTCGTCCAATCATGGATTGCTGAGTACTTCCTCCTTATTATCCACTTCACTTTCATTACTTCACTTTCTTGGCCAACTCCGGCCTCACTCCTCACCTCGTTCACCCTCCGGTCATCCTGGTTAATCCCGGAACCTCTGGACAAGTCATCCAGCCCTAACCGGTTCAATGCGGTTCATCCATATCGCCCCGGAACATTCTACCTGAACATTCCACCTGTACTTTGCACTGGTCCTTCACTGTGATACAGGCTGTGGCACCTCCGCACTCCTTGGTACATTCCGGACTGTGATTATGTAATCACTCCGAACTCCGGTCCTCCACGTTCCTTGGTTCAGCTCCTCTTCACCCACATCGTCTCGGACCTCTGCCACTATGCATTGGAACTCTCCTAAAGGACTGCCAACGTCCTCCGGAATGAGTACCTGCAACTGTGTCCGCTCCGGCGACCCGGAGCTCCCAAAACCACCAACACTTAACACCAGTACCTTGGAACTCGTTCATCTCGACTACCAACATACCAGTCCAACATCTGGTACACTTATGCGCTATTCATCTATGCCCCATCACTCCTGCTCTCGTTCCAGTCGCTCCGGACATATCTCCGGAATCCGGAGATACCCGGAGTCACCGGAGTCATCAGACTCTTCCCCGGAACGTTCGCTATTATGCCTTATCAACTCCTCTTCCATTTATGCGTCCCTTATCACTTCTCATCTATTGTTTCAACGCTCTCATCACTTCTCCTTGTTGTCTTTCCACATGCTTCGTGCTTCCATCACAATCCCATCATTCCCTATCGCTTCTTCATCTGCCTCAAGGCAGATGTCATAGCACTTACATCTTATCACTCTTCTATCCATCCGTTCATCTATCAAACCATATGCTCTACCTTTCCCCTTTCTTTACTTCCCATTTATTCCTTACTCCCACTTCATATCTTCTGCCACATGGTAGTGTCTTCTTCCATGTGGTTCACTTCATTTCATGTTGCTTCACATTGCCTCATGTTACTTATTCCCTTTTGTACAAATTACTTGTCCTTAGTATAAATACCGGTACTTTACATCTTGTACAGTATCTGAAAAATAAAAGTTATCCATGCTTCCTTCTCATGGACTGTTGCCAATCGTCTCTTGAGGTTCTGGTCATTGCCTCTCGACGTCTCCCTCTCTATGGCCTTGCTCCCGTCCTCCTCTGGTTCCCTCCTGTGACTCCGGTCACTCCGGTCACTCCGGTTTCCGGTCACAACTCCGGAGTCCTCGCTCGGCCATACCAACAACTGCGGTTCAACTCCGGGTTGTCTCCCGTGTCTTGGATATGCCTCTAGTTCGCTCCGGCACACTGTCTTTGCTCCTTCTTCATGTCAACCGTTCCGGTTCGCACCGGAACTACGCTGGACGACTACCCAACAACACTGGTGATGCTCTTGTATCTTCGGTCCAGGCTATCCCTGTCCCGTCGCCATCTTCGAGCTCGTACGACTCGGACCTTGGCATCGGACACTTCCCCATCTCGCAGCCCGAGGCCAGTCAGTCGGTCACCCTAGCTGAGTTGTGGTGTTCCGAGAAGTGGCTGATCTAGACATCCGTTCATCTCCGGTTCGCGGCTTAGCCTGGCTCCGGTCATATGATCAGATATTCCTTCCCTCTTGGCTCAGCGATATAACAATGAAGGTACATAAAAAATGAGCCAGGAGAGAGAGTAGACGACCTGACCCGGAATCGAACCGGGGACTCCCACCTGATAATGGTTCCCTTCGAAAGCAGAGTGGGTGTGAACCATTCACCACCAGGTCTTCAAATACTTTATTAGCTCCTCTTAAGTTCTGCTAGAAATCATCAACATGAAGTCTTAAGTTGGCAAGAACTTAAGTCCCCCACCTGATACTATACAGATCTGGTATCAGACTAGCATTGCTGAACAGATGCTGGAACTTAAGTTGCAAACTTAAGATGTGAATAGAAACTCAAGATCGCAATTAAACAGTACAGTTCAGTTCAGTGCGGGAAGTACTTAAAATTTGAAGCCAAACTTAAGACCCGACCTAAACTTGAGTTCGGGCGGAACTCAAGTTCCGCACTCCCTCCAGTTCTGCCAGACTTCAGTTTCACCAAACTGAAGTTCCTTCCCTGCACTTAAGTTCCGGCGCAACTCAAGTTCTGCGAACATCCATCAGCAAAATGTTTCGCGTCTGGGGAGGCCTGGCGCCATACCACCAGACGCGCCACACCTCCACAATTGCTTGTGGTACCAGTATGACCGGCACTATACCAGTTATCTCTTGTAGTCCCACACGGGCCCAGAAAGACTTCTGGTGCCATTTCCCCCTCATGCCCACTTTGTACATTCAACCATTCCTAATTCTACACTACAATACGACTACAATTGTCATTAGTTATCGCTTCTCATTGATCACACATTGAATGCGGGGGATAAATATATTGGTGGTGTAGTAAATGGTGTTAATAAACATGGTATTCGAGCCGGCGCGAGGCTTTCAGCAATGAATCAATGAATCTGGACAGCTGAACGGTAAGTATTCGGTCGCGGAACCAGCAGGATCAAGTAGACTCACCGGTAGACTAATCCTCGTCGTCGGATAATTGAATGCCAAGACGAGGGTCTGGACCCTCGCTTGTATCATCGTCCTCGGCGACATCCCAGCGGGGAGGGGCGACATTCCATTCATCGGCCAAGGCATTGATTTCCGCCCACTTGGAGTCACTCAAGCCCGCGATGACTTTGAGGTACGTACCGGCTCGCGTTGCCCACGGATCCGCCACAAACCGATGCGCCGCCTTTTTGCCCGGTCGCTTGACGCCCTGCGTGATCTTGCTGCCTGGCTTCCAAATGGTTAATGCACGCTCCACCTAATCGGAGGCAACATCAGGATCATAAATGTTATGCAATGGGAAACATACCGCGGCAGTTGTGAGGGCGAGCGCACCCTTTTGCTTTCGCCGATCCTCCGCTGGCACCACAGAGACGATTCGAAGATGACGAGCATAGACATAGCTGACGGCTTGAGACCGATATGCGCCGCGCTAGAATAAGTTAGTAGTTTGTGGGATTAAGAAGCCCAGATAGGCGCACCTTTGCTACTGGGTCCGCGTACACAAAGCTCATGTCATGAAGTTCTTCAGCAACGAATGCTTTACGTCCAGCAGCGTCTTCACCGAGCTCTTCCATGCGCTTGGCAAAGAGATCGTCAAAGTAGCTGATCGCGTACTTGCCGGTTTCACTACGCCAGGTACGGATAGCGCTGGCGGCCTGTAAAGTTATTGAATTGGGGTTGGGTGATTAGAGAACATAAGACGTACCACCCCGTAAACCGCGTCGTCGCAGGGAATGTCCGGGAAGCATTTGGCCCAAGCTTTGCGAACCTCAAGCTTGAAGTCGGGCTGAGCTGCACCCGCAGAAAAAGCATCGCCGAGGGAACCGGCCCAATGCATGATGATTCCGAGGGCCTTGGTCTGCCATACCTTGATCTGCTCAGGGCGGTCGACTCCGAAGGGAAGATGGTCGTTGGTGTACCGCGGTTTCTTGACTTTAATTACCGGTCCGGCGATCTCTGGAGTGACATCAGCTAACTTGATTCCCATCTGCGGCGACGACAGCCAGCACTCTCCAAGTCAGAACGAGCACCCAACGCGAATCGAGCACTCACCGCGGCCGTTCCAGCCTTGCGCGAACGTTTCCCACTGGGCTGGCCGATGTCTGCAGCTGGAATTACGGGCTCATCTTCATCCACGACGCCGCCAAAATACTCTCCCTCGGACGTGCCCGTTTGGATCTGGGACGACTTCGAGGAGCTGCGTGACTGGGACTTTTTGGAAGGCTGGAGACGGCCACGCTCGTCGGCCATCGCAATCTTCTTCCAGCCGGGTTTGAGACCACCGATCTCACTGGGCTTTGGGCGCTTCGGGACGGGTCTGCCGCTACGATGAGCTCTGAAAACATGGTTTACTAAAGCTGTGAACGCACGGGGGATCCATCGGCACCGCAGCCTTCCTCTTCTTGGCGCCGCTGCTGCCTGCGACTGGAGCCTCTGCGCGTGAATCAGCAATCTCGCCGCGAAGGAGGTTCTTCTGCTGAATGGCCCAGGTAGAGTCAGTACGGGCTCGAACAATGAACTGTAACTCACCTTTGGAGCAGATCCTTTCGCCTTCAATTTCTTCTAGAGGTGGGTGTGAGATAGCGGATTGGGTTTGCGACTTATTCACCTTAGCACTTTCTTTCCCCTTTCCTTTTGCGGCGGATTTCGGCTGAGTGGCGAGGAAAGCGAGGAAAGCGGTGTTTGGTTCCTCGTTGGCCGAATCTGATCCTGACTCGTCATCAGCATCTATCTCAACCTCATCGTTCTCGCCGCCGCTAAGCTCGTAGTTCGGGTCGTGGTC